CCTCATTCCGGTAACACAGGGGTTCTCATCCTGGCAGTGTCAGAGAGTAACCTGAGAAGCTTTAACTAGCAGAATGCCCAGGCCCATCCCCCAGAGATTCTGATTAACTGGTCTGCAGTGGGGCACAGTGATCATCAGCATTCTGGGGGCACCCCAGATGGATCAAAGGTACTGCCAGTGTTTGAAGTGCACTGCTGTATCCTCTCTGCCTAGCACAGAGATGGTACATAACATTTGCTCTGAGAGTGATGGTAAATAAAGTTTATTTTTAATCTATTTCTTTTACCTAACTCCATGTAACCACCGCTGTGTGTCTACACATGCAAACTAAATAAAGCATAACCTCTGATGACAGAAAATAAGATTTTCCATGTAAAACTCTTCTGTTTTGTTTTTAGTGAAACCCAAAGCTTAGGTTTTTGCCAGTTCAGGTTAAAAAAAAAAAAAAGAAAGAAAGAAAACTAAAACAAATGGGGTAAGCTCCTAATACATCATAGGTACCATACAAGTGCTATTAATAGTAATAATCATTTAAAAAATGAATAAGACATTAATTCTGCTCTTGAGAGTTCATAGGAGGTTTAAGTTGAATTTAAGTTAAGATGAAAAATTTGACCACTGAATCTAAAGATCCACTACATACTTACAAAATGTGATGACTCTAAGATTTCTTGCCACTAAATTGGGGAGGGGGTTTATTAACTTTAAATTATTTAAGTACTGCAGACAAAAACTTAACTTTGCATACCTCTTATAAAACAAACACTCTGTACACAGAATTTACTAGAATCTGTGAGGAAATCACTATAATCATTACAATCAACTCCATTTTACAGAATAAGGTATTGAGAACGAGTCATTTTCCAAAGATCACAGACCTACACCTGAATTCAAAACTCCCTCAATATCTAATTTTACGTTCTAATATTACAACCTTAGGACCAAACCAGAACCCGTTTTTAGATTTTTTAAAAACATTTAAAATAAGGACTTGATTCTGCCCACACACTAATATAAATTTTTCTTAGTTTTGATCTAACTATATAGTACTCTGTACTCAATCTAACTCTGAAAACCTTGCTAATCACTTTATATTTCGATTCCTAGTGGGTTTCTGATGGGCTGTTCTCCGGAAGACGCAGCCCCCCACTATGCGGTGAAAGGAGATGGTTTCCAGGGGCAGCGATTTTCCAACCTCATTTCTGAAAGCCCGGTAACCTCAGCGAAGATCAGTAATTGATGCAGTTCTAAATGTCACTATCAATTCTATTGATTTCTCTGATCGATCTGAGTCTTTCAACTACATGAGCTTTTGTAACAACTTAGGCTTTACCTGTAAAACGCCGCCAACTCCACAGTGGAGCGACCAGCCTTTATTCAATATGGACACCAAAAAAAACGCCTCCGCAGAAGCGCTACGCAAAATTCTTGCGAGTTTCCGAGAACACCTGTATCTGGAACCCAAAAATCAAACTAAAATTAAAAGCGCGGCTTAGCGGCACTGCGAAAGGCAACGGAACCAACCGCCAGGAGGGTGGCTGCTCAATCCCCGCCCGGGCCCAACGTCTCTGGGGACATCGTTCCTCCTGCGGGCTCCGGAACGCGGCCCGCTCACCTCTGACCCCGGCCAGATCTCGCGCGCCTAACCCGTCCGCCTGCCCGCCGCGGACTCGTCCCACCCACCAGCCACCGCCCACCTGCGCAGGCCGCCGCCGCGCTAGGCCTCAAGACTGCCGCCGGCTCGGCCGCAACGCCAACCCGCCCCTTCGGCGGCTCGGTGCCGCAGCCCGGCCAACCGCCTGTTCCGGCAGCTGCACTTCCGACTAGAGCTGGGCCGCGAGGCGGGGCCGGCGGGCGGAAGGGGTGGAGTTGGGAGGGCGGGGCCGAGGCCGGAAGGCTCGAACGCTGGGGGTCGTAACATCCTTGGAAGATCCCCGCGAGGCCCACGGAGACTGAGGTCCGGGCGCCAGGCGGGTCCCACAAGCTTATGCTCAGGCTCGGCGCCCGCGTCTGCGAAGTGGGCGGGCGGGTGTAGGTGTTATTTGCAGGGAAGACGACCCTGTCAAATTTCTAGCGTGAAAGAAACTGGGAACTAGCTTTCCTTCTTGCCCAGCTCATCCAACTGATGCCCAGGCTCATCCAAATCTACGTTTACCCTTCCAGTCTGTACAACTTTCTTCGAACATCAAGTGCCAATGAGTTGAATGTTTTTTTAAAAAAATCACCCCAGAAAAAGGTTCTAAAAATTCAGAAACTACATTACCAACACACTTTGTAAGGTCTATTTGTAATTCTTCGCCTTCGAACAAATTTGATTGTTGAGAAATAATTTTTTTTAACTGAGGTGAAATTCACAGAACATCCAATGAACCGTTTTAAAGTGTACAGTTCGATGGCATTTAATAAATTCACAATGTTGTGCAACCATCACCTCTAGCTAGTTCCAAAACAAGACGTTTTAATCACCCCAAAATAAAACCTGAACCCATTAAGCATTTATTCCCATTCCTCCCTCTCTCAGCCCTTGGCAAATATCAATCAGCTTTCAGACTCTATGGATTTACCTCTTCTGGATATTTCATGTAAGTGGAATACGTGACCTTTTGTGTCTGTCTTCTTTCACTTAGCATGATGTTTTACAGGTTCACCTTGTATACCTTGTAACATGTATCAGTACTTCATTCCTGTTTATGGCTATTACTGCACTGTATATAGATGCCGTAATTTTACCCATCCATCCATTTTTGGACATTCGTATTGTTTTCACCTTCAGGCTATTATGAAGAGTGCTCCTATAAACATTTGTGTACAGTATTTGTTTGACTCCCTGTTTTCAATTCTTCTGGGTATATCCATAGGAGTGGAATTTCTGGGTCTTATGGTAATTCTATATTTAAATATTTGAGGAACCCGTAAACTGTTTCCTACAGCAGCTTAACCATTTTACATACCAACAGCTAGAGTAATTCTAATTTCTCCACATCCTCGCCAACACTTATTTTCTATTCTTTTGGTAATAGCCATCCCAAAGGATATAAAGGGAGATTTCATTGTGATTTGATTTACCTTCCCTAATGGCTAGTGATGTTGAGCAACTTTCTACATCCTTTTTGACCAACAGAGGTGGTCTGGAGACACACCCAGGTCTAGTTGTGTTGGGCACCTGTGATGTAAATTACTCCCTGTAGTTCTGTGGTTGGTGTCAGGGTTGTTGCCCTGAGCTCCTCCCACATCGATGTGTCTTCGATTTTAGAGGTGAAGGCTTGGTTGTCCAGTTCTGCTCCGAATGAAAATTATTTTCTTGTGAATGTCACGTTCTCCCTGTTCCCTAATGTTTGCCTCTTTGGTGCCATAGCTACTGCTGTCACACCTTCTTTTCTGGCTCAAGCTGCTTCTCCCAAGATGGGGCAGGCGGTTGCACCAGTATTTGAGGAGGCCCTACCTGCCGGTTTACGGACTGCTGTTCTGTCAGACGTGCCTGCCACAACAGTGGCAATGGGAAGGCAAAGCCTTCTCTCCTGTCTGACACCACCCCCCTTGCGGTCTGCTTTCCACAACTCCAGTACCCACATCGAGTTGTATCCCTCTGTTAAATTTTTTTTTGAGCTCCCAGTGTCCACAAAATAAAGTTTGCATCCCTAACATAACATTAAGGTCCTCCAGGGTCTCATTCCATCCATGTTTCCAGACCTGAGTCTTCTTCCACGATAACTCCTTTTACATTCTGGTGACTTATTAGCTGTATGTCTGGAGAGTGAAAAGGCAACCAACGTAATGGGAGAAAATGTTTGCATATCATATATCTGATATATATGTATAAAAGATGTATAAAGAAATTCAACTCAACAACAAGAAATCCAAACAACCCAGTTCAAAAATGGGCAAAGGGCTTGAATAAACATTTCTCCAAAGAAGGTGTACAGATGGCCAATAAACACATGAAAATGTGTTCAACATCACTAATCAATAGAGAAGTGCAAATCAAAGCTACAGTGAAATACCACTTCACATTCATTGGGATGACTATTATCAGAAGAACAGAAAATTACAATTGTTGTCAAGGATGTGGAGAAATCTAGGTATTTGTACATTGCTTGTGGGAATATAAAATGGTGTAGCTGCTGTGGAAAACAATATGGTGGTTCTTCAGAAAGTTCTACGTAGAGAGGCTGAGGTGGGAGGTCAGGAGTTCAAGACTACCCTGACCAAGAGTGAGACCATTTCTCTGCAAAAAAAAAAAAAAAAAAAATAGAAAAATTAGCTGGGTGTGATTGCAAACATCTGTAGTCCCAGATACTCGGGAGACTGAGGCAGGAGGACCACTTGAGCCCAGGAGTTTGAGGTTGCAGTGAGCTATAGTGCTGCCGCTGCACTCTACCTGTGGCCACCAAACAAAACTCTGTCTCAAAAAAAAAGAAAGGTTATAATGGTAAATTTTATTTTATGTATATTTTACTGTAATATCACAAAATATTAAAGAACCTCAAAAAACCCAACTCCACCCCCAAATTGTTGCAGTGGAGTTGAGTTTGCACTATATTCTGGTTGCTCTCACCTGTTGCAGTGAGCTTAAATGAAGTCTTCCTTGCTTGTTTAACTTTGTCCAGGGCAATTTTTGCTTAGACAGTGTGTATTTCTGGCATTGCATTGAATGCACTGTGCATTTTATTTAGCTACTTGTGCACCCATCTGCTTCTCTGTGAGATTTTAAGACTTTTGAGGTCAGGAACCATGTTATGTTCTTATTTTTATCATTCAGAATGCATAACCAGGTGTCTTCACAAATTAAGGGCTCAAAAAATGCCAAAACAAATGAAATTTCTTTCTATTATACATTGAGAGTTTGCTTGTATATAAGTCACATCTTGTGGCACCAAATGGAATATAGTCAGTACTGTACTAAGAATTTTCTTTGAACAAGTAATGTTCTTTTAGAGATTCAGATCCTGTATATCATCTTTAAATTAGTCTAAAACAAGCATCGTTGTAGTCAGAGGGTAATGAGTGAACAATATTGCTTAATGATGTTTTGGCCACTTGGGTACAACCTACCAGGGACAATCTGTGAATGAATCACCACAGCCCCTATCAGGTCTGGAAACTCACCAAATTTAAATGAAATTCCCTAAACCAAAATTATTAATTTATTAATAATAGGGAGAAAGATAAAACCAAGGAAAAGGAGAAGGTGGATTTGTGGTAAAGGCAAGAGAACCTTTGTAAAGGCAAAGTACTTGCAAAGAATCCTGAGAAATGTAAACTGCATTGCTAATTGTTTTGATGAGGTAAAATTTGGGGCATGAAAAAATATTTGGAACTGCTGATATTTTAGTGAATATTCAATTTACTAAGATTATGAATTTATAAATTTAGATCTCTTAAGCCTTTCAGCTCTATGTACTGATTTTATTATGAATTTAGTAAATGTTGTTTCAATTAAAAAGAGTCTCTTTTTCTAACACCTCAGGGGAGTCTCAAGCACCCTGGAGTTTGAAAATCAGTGTTTGGTAATGTATGATAATATTTTCAGCTTGTTTTTTCAAATAAGAAGGGGGTCTAAATTTCAATGAAGGAGTAACTAATTCTTGAATTATTGTCTCAGCGAGGCTGTCAAAAGGAAACTTGGTAGCTTTGGCTTGAAATTCCATAGCATGTGTGGTTCTCATTGGCATAGGCTAAACCTGTTTCCTTCAGCCAGCACTGGTTTCAGGAGAGTGTGTCTGACTCTTTCCAAGGATGACCCTGATAAAGAAAAAAGCAAAAGAAAAGAATGACGAAGCAGGCACTGAATGCAGAGTAACACATCGGTCCCCAATGCAGAATTCAATTCAGTCCTTGCCCCTTCCTTCCTTGTCTCAGGCAAGCTTATTGAACCATCATTGGTAAAACTGGGTCACTGCTCTCTTAGCACCCCCAGGACTTTCTCTGATTCATGTTTGCAGCTATTAAAAGATAAATTTTGGCACATTAAAATTTCAGAGTTTATTTGAGCAGACAGTGATTCTGGGTTGGCAGCTCCAACCCAGAAATGGTTAGGGGTTCCCTGGATACGATTAAAGGGAAAACTTTTATAGGGTGAATGTGGGAGCAGAGTCAAGAGATCACTCGACTGGTTAAAGTTTGAGCAGTTGCCTTATTTTGACTATTCCAGTGGGAAGTTCAAGACCATCTGTGATTGGCTGAGCGTTTTTCATTTTCTTTTAAATTTTGAGTCAGGTTTCAGTTTGCTTACCTAGAAACCCAGACTTTTAGAGCCACCTCAGTCTAAGGGCCACCCATTTAGCTATTTTAACATGGCTCTAATGCTTACTGCAATCTGGGTGCTCAAAGTTCAGTTATTCAATAACTATTTGTTGAAAGCCTTAATATACCAGGTACACTTCTGACTGCT